AAAAAGCCTTTGGCCGTGATTGCAGTTGGATACACTTTTTGGAGTATTTGTGCGAGTTTGCCCTCAGTGAGGGCACTTCAGCAGAACGTAGAACACGGAGAGCAGGACTGCCGGAGTCTCAGAAAAAGAACAAAAAATAAAAAAAGCCAACAACGCTTCGACCGTGGAAGTGGTTGGATGCAATTCGACGTCGCTACCGTCTTCCTCCGAACATAATGCACCCTAAAATGAATGTATACAAGCCATATTTCCGGCCAGATACAGCCAAAATAAGGGTGCGTTGTGTTCGGGGAAAGACGGTAGTGTGAATATGCACTCAGCGAGGGCGTTTTGAGCAAGAGGAATATGCGCTGCCTTGTGGCAGGGCCAGGAAGAAAAAAAACAAAACGAGAAGAAATTTCAAGAAAAGGAAAAACAGCAACGTTTCCCTCTCCCTGTAATAGTGGTCAGATGCATTCAGGAAGGTGATCATTTGCGTATGGCCTCCATGACGTCCTTTCACAACATCATTGCTCTCTTTTTTTTTTTTTTTTTTCCCACATAGCCCATATGGGAGATAGGGGCGCTGACACGAGCAGACGTCCCTATCTCCCCCAACGTCGAAGGCTCCATCTATTGGTGGGGACCAGCACCTGCTGGAAATTGGGTGCATCGTCCCTTACATCATAACAACCAGTTGTTCCCAACTGTCTTCCAAACTGCCATTGCTCTCTGGCATGTTTGTTCCTTTCTTTTCTTTTCTTTTTTCTTTTGTTCTTTTCTTTTCTTTTCTTTTCTTTTCTTTTCTTTTTTCCTTTCCAAAATTCCCGCTGCAGGTACCCTCACGCAGAAGGCTCGGAAAATAGTGGCGCGCAGTGTGCAGGTAGGTTCGGGATTTGTCTAGGTGCGGGTGTACTGGTGGTTTAAAGTGATGCTGTAACAACATCACTGATATCAATATTCCTGAAATGGGCCTCGCAGTTAGCTGATATGGACATGACTAGGGGCCTAACTCTGAGGAAAAACAGCCTAACTCCAAGACGCTCATGCTGCAGTCACGCAATGCTGTGACGGATGCAAATCCTCGGAGATTTGCTGATATCGACATATGGCTAAATGTCTCGCCACAAATCAGGTGCTCGTATTTTCCATGATGAGCTACCACACTCATCTATGCAGATAGCGGAGACTATGAAGAGTCATGATGCCGGCTATCTCTCTCTTTGATTGCCTGAAAACTTCAACTTGTGCAATGAAATGGCGAGAGGTGACTGGACCACTTCGTCGCGGATATAACACTTGGAACCCATTCATCAATCCGCGAACATAAAAGGAAAAGAAAAAGAAGTTACAGAAAAAAAACACCCGTTCATTGGTGTCCTCATGTCCATCATGTTTTTGCCGGCAAAGGCAAACCCATTCATCAGATGAACGGGGGCGATGGATTCTCTCCCCCCTTTCCCATCACGCAGGTTATTCGATTATGTGCATCTATGCACACAATTGACTGGCACACGGAAACCACCAGTACTTTGGAGCCTCTCGTTTTCCTGAAGGCTCGAAACGCTTTGTGCAGCCAAGCCTCTCGTTTTCCTGAAGGCTCGAAATGCCTTGTGCAGCCAACACGGGCTGCCTCCTTTTGGAAGGTGCTGCCATCCATTTTGCTCCGAAACCGGACCCCCGAAAGTTGCGGCGTGCATGCAGCCGTGTGGACGAAAAAATGGTGGGTGTTTCTTGCCATGTTGTCGGGGAAATTGCAGCCCATTTTTGCACATTCGATGTCAGTGACTAATGCAGCAAGCCCTATACTTGTTATCTCACAAGTGGATGACAGGGACTCCCACTTTCAGCCCCCTAGTATTGTCTATGCAGTTGATAATAATCTGCATGCAGACAGCAAATGCTGAACTGTAGTCATAGTTGGCCTATAAGCTCAAAGGGTGTTATCCCAATCATCAGGTCCCCAACTTAGCCGTTCGTTGAAATGTAAAACTGGTTCCGTAAATGACCTCCACAGTTTCATCCTCCTCCGGTTGTACGCTTGTTCCTCCTGTACACCTTGTAGACCTTGTGGCAATTCCTTTTATCATTCCTTTTTTGGTAATTCGGGGCGTGCTCCACTTCAGAACTCGTTTTTTTTTTTTTGTTTTTTGTTTTTTCATCTCTGGACAGTCAGGCTGCCACCCGTAGGTAGGTCACCTCTGTGCATTATGTCTGCTAGACTGCTATAGTGGTGGGGAAGATAACCTGCTTGCAATGATGGTGAGTAAAGCAGAATTCACACTCGTTGTGTGTGACAGTAGTCATTTCTACGCCCATGTGTTTGCGCTTCAATCTACCTCACAGTGCTCACACTGCATAACCCATGGCAGGCTGAAGTTTGGGACAGTAAAGATGAAGACACATACCCACTTTCGGTGCATTAAACGCGCTACCTTTTAGAGGCGAAGTCTTTAAGTCGTGAATGTGAACTATAAGGGCTACCGCATTCTTGGGATGTAGGGTGCGCAACTGGACAAAAATTGCTGGCGGTCCCAGCCAAAACAAAAGAAAGAAGGTTATGCTCGCTCTTCCGCAAAACATGGTGTGCAGATCTACTCCGCCTCGGCAGAAAGAGGGCTCGGAGGTGGTGGTGGTTTATGGCAAACGTCTGAAAAAGCAACATAGCAAAACCGCCAGGAAAACAGATTTGGGGGAAAAAAAAAAAAAAAAAAAAAAAAGAGAGAGAAGAACAAGGATCGTGATAGACGGCTTAATTATAGGAGGGACGCTGAGCCCGGTTCTCAGTTTGTTTGGTTCGGTTTCTCCGGGTAGACTGTGAGGACCCCGGCCTCAGTCTTCTTATTCAATTTGGTAATATCAGCCTTGGGCACTGGGCCCATTTTGTAAAAAATAAAATAAGAATGATAGTAGACGGCTTGGCCAGATGTGCGAGAGCTCATCAGGAGGCTTAAACCACCAGTACTGAGCCCGTACAATGGCCAGAGGCCCTTTTCACATAGGCACCGCGACTTTCCGGTCTTGGCCTCTTGAAGCAGAGTGGCTGGTGTCGCCAGCCAACTTGAAGAGGAGACTGCACCAGTTTGTTTTTTTTCGCCCGCAGGGCCTTTCCAAGGTTGGAGA